AAAAAAAAAAAAAAGGAACCATGAGAAAAACTAAAATGAGCCAATGTATGTAGCAACTGGAACAATGGAAGTGTAATTATCATGGCCTTCTCTGAGATGGGAATTGAGAGTGTGGAATTCTCCAAAGGCTTTTTCAAAACAACAAAAGTTAATAGGAACAGCAAAGACCTTCAGAAATAATACAACAAATTGGGACTACTCAGGCAACTCAAAAATGACCAGGCACCAGGGTGTAGAGCAGTACTGCAGAGCCTAAATAAAACGTGCAAAATGTACAAGGATTCATCAGGACAAAAAATGGTCTCAGGTTCTGACACTGAAGCTGAAGGAAAAAGGAGTACACTGGATAGTTATCCTGGGTGCGGGTAAAATACAGAATTAAAAGGCAGATTAGAATATAGAAAGAGATGTCAACTCGGGAATACCTGTCAGAGTACAGACAGCTTAAATCTTTGGTATATATAAATACACCCTTTGATGGTGAAAACATTATCTGGGAGAAAGAAGGATTCTGGTTTCACATATAGGAAGTAGGAAGTCCCAGGGCAGCTGCCGCAGTGGCCGACAACATATAGGGGGTTAGAGTGCACATTAGACATTAGTAGCAGAGGTCAATTTGGGACTCTCCAGAAGAGAAGAGAGCTTAGGCCTTGAGAATGAATTAAACTTTTAATATGAGAATCAAGCAGAAGATTCAAAAAACAGCACCTAGAAGCTAGGGAAGCAGAAAGTGGTAAGTATATACTCGTACAGGTGCCTTGAGAGATGAGGTAGATTGTCAGGGAGGGGTATCAGCCCTGTCAAAAGGGGCTGAAGTAGAGTGCAAAGCAAGCTGTATGGATAAAGAGAGGAATTTCATGGCAAGTGAGGTAGAGAACAGGAAGTAAGCCTGCTGCAGAAGACGACACGGAGAAGACAGGAGCATGCTGGGAAGAATGGAACTAGGTAAGAAATCAAGACAGATTGCAATCCAATCTAGAAAATTTAAAAAAGGGAGGCATCATTCTTTAATAGCAGGAAAAGAAGATCAGCCCCAACAAAGAACAGAAATGCAGAAAGGTGTTAGGCTTCTGAGTCACCAACTGTGGTAAGAAAAGTTCTCTAAACATTTCAAAAGTGTCAACCTTTCATTGACCAACTAGAAATTTAGTGTCATCTCTCCCCATTTTCTTGGTTTTCACTTACTCACCTGAAAAGGTTGGATTATGGGCTGCTCTCTCTGCTATCCATGGTGGTCCTCCTTGCTCCAACTGGAAGAGTGAATCTGGTTTGGTAGCTTGATATCCTGTGAAAGGGATATTACTGAACACTTGGCACCAAGTATTTATGCTGGGGGAATCTATCAAAATGAGAAAGTTGTGTTTCAGGGCCCATATCATTTGTACTCGGTAGGGTAAAAACCTTTTACTTGGAAAGAAAGAGCATATATTCTAGGATCAAACATAAGAATAAAAAAGTCTATCACCCACAATGCTTTAGTCCAAACCATGAAATATTTCAGGAACCCTGCAGATTTCAGTGAATGAGAAAGACAAGGCAACCGATTGTGATGCTGTCCTTACCTAATGACACTAGGTTGTTGTAGTTCTCCAACATTACGTCCCTGTAGAGGTCCTTCTGAGACGAATCCAATAACTGCCACTCCTCCCAGGTGAAGCCCACAGCCACATCCTCGAATGATAACGATCCCTGTAATAACAAATTCCAATGCAATCTAAGGTGGAATAAACTATGTGGAAAAAAGGAACAGGAGCATGTTCTGATCATTTTTCCCATGAGAAATTCTGCACACTGTGACTATTTCACATACCATACGGCCATGTATCTTAGTCCATTCATGTTGTTATAAGGAAATACCACAGCTGGGTAGCTTATAAAAACAGAAATTTCTTTCTCACAGTTGAGGAAGCTGGGAAGTCTAAGATCAAGATGCCAGAATGGTTGTATTCTGGTGACAGCCCACTTCCTGGTTTATAGTGGGCACCTTCTTGCTATGACCTCACATGGTGGAAGGGTGAGGGATTTGTGTGGGGTATCTTTTATAAGAACACTAATCCTATTCATGCAGCCTTCAATCTAATGACCTATGCACTTCCTACAGGCCCCACCTCCTAATACCATCATCTTTGGGGGTTAAGATTTAAACATACGAATTTTGTGGGTACACAAACTTTCAGGCCATAGCACCATGTAATTCTCCTAATTAGTTCTCCCTCACCTAAAAGAATACTAGAATACTATTTGAATACACAAAACAATATGTAGTAAGAATGTTTATTATTTGTATATGACAGTGAAAAACTATCAATAATCTAAACATCCATCAAAACCAGACATTTACAGCATCTCCCTGCTATAAAATATTACGCAAACATTAAAATCAATGAGGCAGATGTAAACATACTTATATCAATAATCTTCAAGGCATTCTATTAAGTGAAAAGAATTAAACCCCCAACTTGTATATATATATATGATCCCAGACATGTAAAAAATATCTTTATATATTATATATGTAAAAATACACATATGTACACATATAAAAACGTATATCAATATAGATCTATTCAACCACGTCAATTATAGAAAGAAACTGGTTGGAGACGCAAACTATTAACATTTGTTACCCCCTGGGTAGAAGGTTGGGCAGGAAAAAGGTGAAAGGATATATTGTCTTTTGGGGCAAAACTTGTGTTTGCCTGAATCTCTTGCATGCAAATGTAGCCATGTATCATTTGAGTAATTAAAAATACATAGACCAGGGCCGGCTGAGTGGCGCGATGGTTAAGAACTCGCTTGGGATGCCAGAGGGCCCCGGTTCGGATCCCACATATGAGGGCCAGTGACACTGCCCTCTACAGCTAAGATGCTGAACAACAGCTCAACCTGGAGCTGGGCTGCCGTGAGTTGCTGGCGACGGCGTGGGCTGCAGTCCCTGTGGCAGTGGATTGCCATGGGCTACCGTGTGTGGCCAGCAGCCAGCGTGAGCGGCCAGCAGCCGCAGTGAGCGGCCGTCCAGAAGCCGGCGACTGATCTGCCTCGCCAGAGAAGAGCGCAATGATGGTGCCAACTTGGGCCAGTGAAGCAACATCCTCCACAACTAGATTGAAGAACAAAACGACAGCAACTTGTCTGTTCCCCTTTCCCCAATTCCCCAGCACTGTTCCCATCCTCCCAATTCCCCAATAAAAAATAAATAAATAAATAAATAAATACATAGACCAAAACAAGAATAATTGGCTCTGGCTTCATTAATAAACCTGGGCTTTAGAAGGTTTAAAGGGGACACTTTTGTCAATATCTGTACACCAAGCTATTCTCAAAGGACAGAACTTTCAGCTGGCTCCTGCCAAATCAGTAACAAAAATCTGGTTGAGAATTTTTCTTCATGGAGGACCACTCAAAGATCAAGCAGCCCATTCATTCTACTGGATAATCCAGGCTTTACCCCTGGCTAAAGTCGGATCACCAGAAGGCTCTGTCGTCAAGGCACACTGCTTTTGAAGAATTTTGCCCCATCAAATTCTGCTTTGCCATTAGCCCCTTAGCTTACTCCAAGGAACACAGTAAGAAAAAGCCAAAGGAAACATCCTATGCCTTTATTACACAACTGACATTGAGGACACTGTCTACATAAAATCTCTCCGTAGAGCCAGCAAAAGAAATTTCTAAAGATCTAAGAGCAATGAAATGTCTACTTCCCCTAAGAACTTGTTTGCTTTCTCCTCATAGGCATTGCAAATCATGTAGCTTTTCATGTTTATCTTATTATTACAGCTGCCAAGAACAGTAGACACATGTTCAAAGCTAAGGCAACCAACAGGGTCCTACACAATCACTTATCTATGTCCCAACATTAAGAACTTTGTGCGGGGCCGGCCGAGTGGCTCAGTTGGTTAAGAGCTTGCTCAAGAGTGTGAGAGCTCTGAGCAACAGGGTCGCCGGTTCAATTCCCACATGGGCCAGTGAGCTGCAAACAGGTAGCAGGATAGCTCAGCTGGTGAGAGCACGTGCTAACAACAAGGTTGCCTGTTCAAGATGGTGGACTACGTCCACCCTCAACTAAAGACTGATGAACTCAGCACCCTGAGCTGAACTGCTGCCCAGGTGGCTCAAGGGATAAAGCACACGCTCTTCACAAGGCTGCCGGTTCGACTCCTGCACGGGATGGTGGCTATGCCCACCCACAACTAACTGAACACAGCACCTTGAGCTGAGTGACACGACTGAACATGGAGCTGAAATTGCTGCGCCCTCCACAACTAAGATTGAAGGACAACAACTTGGCTGTTCCCCTTTCCCAATTCCCCAACACTGTTCCCCTCCCCTCCAAAAAAAGAACTTTGTATGAACCCTATGACCTATGTATCTCACACTTCCTCATTTGTCCTGATTTTAAGATTATATCTAAATTTTTGTTCCTACAGATCCTGATTTTTTCTCAACATAGACTGTCTCATTTTATCAGACATTAGAAACTTCCATAAATCCACTGGGAAAGAAAGGATAAAATAGGTAAAACAAACTTTACCTGGGCCTTGGTCATTTTCTCAAGTTCTGAAGAAACAATGGCAATTCTAGGCTGTGCTCTGTCCACTGTCTCTCTGGGCCTGCCAGGAAGCTGTGGTCAGATATCTCAGGTCAGGCTGCTGCCAGAAGTGATGATCTCCCAAGCCTGGAACCTCCTTCTTCTAGTACTAAAAATCTCTTGTTCCTATAGACTAGAACCTGTGGGTTCAAAAGCAAATTCAATCACAAGTGGACATGCACTCAGGACCACAGCTCTCTTCTGCCATGCGGACTCACTCTAACACAAGGCCCCAATATTTCACCTGTCTCTTTATACCTGGAAGCTTTTACAGCATAGGGCCAGTGCTCCATAGGAAGATATGGAATGGGCGAGAGGACTGCCTTGTTTTTGGTAAAGTTGGAATAGAGTGGATGTGAAGGAGGAGACGGGAAACAAAAACTAGCTCGTGGTCTTGTCCACAGCCAAATTCTCACATAGATCAACTTTAGGAAAGGTAATGTATAGAGTGGTGACTCTGGAAGCTGACTTAAAACCACGTGTGCCCACATGCTCCTAAACTTTTTGTATACTGTACTGGGGCAATAATTCCACTAGAAGACCAAGAATTAAACAAATTATAAGGGGTGTCTTATATAATCTTCAATACTAATCTGTAAGGTACTCATTATTATTTCCATCATTTAAAACACCAGTAAGCTAAGGCTTGGTCTGGTGAAGTGCTGCCCAGGTTAACATCCATCCTAAGCAGCAATGTGGGAATTTGAGTCCACATCTGCCTCTGTCCATTATGCCATTTCCCTCTTCCGAGTCTCACAATACAAACGTGCTCTCTTTCTCACACACTTTAAGAACATTCCTTCCCAGTGCAATGAGTGGCCATACCGTGGAGTGGCCATGCAATCCCATTTGCAAAAACAGAGCCCCCCTGGAATCAGCTCTCTTAATCGTCACTGTGCACACCAGCCAGCAACTTCCACACAGGCAGGAATGCAGAGGCAGCCTCATCACCCCTGCCTCAGAAGCAGCAGATCAGGCTTTAGTCTCCTCAAGAGCCAAGCTCTGGAGCCATATCAGAAACTCACACTCTGAGGACACCACTGTGAGGTCAACTTGAGTTCTGCTTTCACCCCATGAGGCAGCAAATTACTCTTAAAGACTCCCTCTCTGGCCCTCCAGTATCCTCACATCCAGAGAACTCATCTCCAACCTATTCTCTGTTTGGTAAACAAATTATCAATGTTTGCCCAATATTACTGAAGACCCAGAAAACCTAAGTAATTTAAATGGACAATAATAAAAAATAAGAGTTTAGTCAGTGGTTGAATCCGACATGAAAAGTAACACATAGGAGAAATGATAACATTCCTTTACCATAAATACTGTCAGTATTATATGGTAGAACATTACTGGGGGATATTCTCATATTATGTACTGAATATTTTCTAAATAAGCATCGCCTCTGACTCAATGTTCTGTATTTGGGAATTTAAGCAAAGGAAATAGTCACAAAGTAAGCAAAAACGTATGTAAGGTACTACTGCTTAGGTCCATTGATAGAGGATTAATTGAATAAATAATTATATCCATCTAATGGAATATGCAATTATTTTGTATGTTAACACATATTTACTGAAATTTTAAAAATCCATAATATACAACTCAATAAACAAAGGACATTTCTACTCATTACATATATATAATATGATCCTACATTTCTGTAAAAGTAAAACAGTATATCTGTGCATGTGTGTGTGAGTGTGTATAAACACACTCACAAAAGCAAATACAACAATGTTAATTGTTATGGGTGGTCCAACAGATTGGGAAAGTGAATTTTACATCTTTTTTTCAATAAGCACAGGATTTTTAAATTAAAATTATATGTTTAATTAAAAATTAAAAATAAATTTTTTAATTAAAAAACTATAAATTAAAAAAATTTTCACTTGAAATAAAATTAAAGACACTGCCAAGTCATTATAGATTGATACCCATACATGCTTTGGAAGGAATGAAGAGAGGAAGGGAACATGTCCTTTGTTGCATAGGATGTCCTACCTTCTGGACTGGGCTGATTACTTAATCACGGTATAGTTTAACTTGTTCTTCCTTACTGCCTCTACTTTTTATTTTTCCTACAAACTGGGTAGTTGAATTTAGAGATTTGATTTACTTCCATATTTACGTAGGCAAGAATCCTACATTAATGGTGCTGTACACTTCTTATTGCAAATTATTAAGAGGCATAAGGATAAAAGAAAAAATGGAAGAGGGACTATTATAGAATAAGAGAGGCCTAAGAGATATAACAAGCAAATGAAATGCATGAACATTATTTGGGTCATGATTCAAACAATCTAATGCTAAAAGACAACTTTGAGATGATCAGAAAAAAAAACTGAATATGGACTGGGTGTTGGATGAATAAAAAATGAATAAAAAATTATTAATTTTGATACATTTGGAAATTATACTGGTTATAAATTTTAAATGACCTTACATCTTACAGATGCATACTGGAACATTTATAAGTTTAAGGACATGAAGCTTTGAATTTGCTATGAAATTCTCCAGAAGAAAAACAAAAGTGGTGGAGGCATAGATGAACACAACTAGCCATGAGTTGATAATTGTTGAAACTGAGTGATGAGCACATATTATTATATTATTCTCTCTATACTCTGGATTTCCATGAAAAAAAAAGTTAAAAATAAAAAAAAAAACTATCAGGGCCTGATGAGTTCTACCTAAGCTTTACAGGACACATGATTCCAATATGCTGTCAACTCTCAGATCACAGAAAACAGGAAAAGTTTCTCTACTAATTACATAAAGCCAGCATTCCAAAATACTAATCAAGAGGTTAGAAAAAAGAGATACAGATAGATGCTTATTCATTGATTTCAGCCTTGCTTCTTTTCTAAGATATGCATTTAAGGCTATAAATTCCCTCCACTGATTGCTTTAGTTGAATTCAGTAAGGGTTGACATGCAGAATTATTATTAAAATGCAGTTCAACATATTTCCATTGTAATTTATTTTGTTTTGTTTTGTTTTTTTAAATATTTTTTTATTGGGGAATTGGGGGGATGGGAACAGCGCTGGGGAACTAGGGGAAGGGGAACAGACAAGTTGCTGTTGTCCTGCTCTTCAGTCTAGTTGTGGAGGACATCACCCCACCGGCCCAAGCTGGCACCATCATTGCGCTCTTCCCGGGCAAGGCAGACCAGTCGCCGGCCTCTGGACAGCCGCTCACTGCGGCTGCTGGCCGCTCACGCTGGCTGCTGGCCACACACGGTAGCCCATGGCAACCCATTGCCACAGGGGCTGCAGCCCACGCCGTCGCCAGCGACCCATGGCAGCCCAGCTCCAGGTCGAGCTGCTGTTCAGCATCCTAGCTGTGGAGGGCAGTGTCACCGGCCCCCATATGTGGGATCCGAACCGGGGCCCTCTGGTGTCCCAAGCCAGTTCTCAACCATCGCGCCACTCGGCCGGCCCTCCATTGTAATATTTTTTTGATTTCATGATTTTTAGATGTGTACAGTGTACTAGCCAAACAAATTGGGATTTTCTACTTATTTTGGTATTGTTTTATCATTTAATTCCACTTTAGTTAAAGAAGATAGTCTATATGATTTCAATCCTTTGAAATCTGTTTAGACTTGCTTTATGACCCACCACTTCGTATTGCAAATAAATATCAAGTCACTATGTTGTACACTTGAAACTAATATATTATAACTCAATTATGCTTCAATAAATAAATAATTTGAAAAATAATAAATGTTCTATGTGCATTTGAAAAAATTCTTGGGCGAAGTGTTTTATATTGATCAAGTTTGTTAATCATGTTATTTTAATCTTTCAGGGGTCAGCACTATGGCAGGCTAGTGATGTGTTTTTGTAAATATGTTTCATTGGAACATAGCCACACCCATTTGTTTATGTATTCTGTGGCTACTTTGAAATTACAAAGGCAGACAGAGTTCTGTAGATGCAGACAGACCATCTGGCCAGCAGAGCCCAAAATATTTACCTGTTAACACTTTACAGAGAAACTTTGCTGACCCCTGTTAATCTACAGCAGCGGATCTCAACCTGTGGGTCGTGACCCCTTTGGGGGTCGAATGACCCTTTCACAGGGGTTGCTGGGTACTCGTATGTGGGCGTATCTGCATGTGGGCCTGGAGACGGATAGAGGAGTGGTGTCTCGGTTCCTAAGACCATTGAAAATATGTGTTTTCCAATGGTCTTAGGCGACCCCTGTGAAAGGTTGAGAACTGCTGATCTATAGCCTTCGAGCCTTCCGTCTCCTTGTTCTGTCACTGAGAGAGGTATGTTCAGAATATCCCATTATGGGGCTGGCCGAGTGGCTCAGTTGGTTAAGAGCTTGCTCAAGAGTGCAAGCTCTGAGCAACAGGGTCACCGGTTTGATTCCCACATGGGCCAGTGAGCTGCGCCTGAGCTGCAAACAGGTGGCAGGATGGCTCAGCTTGTGACAGCACATGCTTCTAACAACAAGGTTGCCTGTTCGAGATGGTGGGCTACGCTGACCCGCAACTAAAGACTAAACTCGACACCTTGAGCAGAGCTGCCGCCCGGATGGCTGAGTGGGCACAGCGTGCGCTCTTAACAATGAGGCTGCTGGTTCAAATCCCGCATGGGATGGTGGCAAAGCCCACCCGCAACTAATTGAACATCAGCACCTTGAGCTGAGCGGTGCAACTGAACTTGGAGCTGAGCTTGCTGCACCCTCCACAACTAAGACTGAAGGACAACAACTTGGCTGTTCCCCTTCCCCAATTCCCCAACACTGTTCCTCTCCCTCTATTCCCCAATAAAGTCTTAAAAAAAAAAAAGGAATATCCCATTATGACTAGGCATTTGCCATTTCTCCTTGTGTCTAGAATAACCTATACTTCTGGAATTCTACTAAGTATCAATATATACCCAACAGAACGTTCATGCACCAAAATGCATGTGAAGAAATGTTCATACCAGCATTATTCATAACAGACATAAGTCAGTGGTAACCCAAATGTCTGTTAATAGCAAAATGGATAAATTGGGATATAATCATACAATGGAATACTACAAGCAATGAAAAGAAATGAACTACTTCTATATGCAATAACTTAGATGAATTTCACAACAAAATATTGAGCAAAAGAAGCCAGACACAAAAGAACATTACTGTATGATTCCGTTTATATAATGTTAGCAATCAGACAAATTTAATATGATATTTTAAGGATAATTACCTCTGGAGAGGAGGAAGGAGATTAGGATGAGGCGGGGACTTCTAGGGTGCTACAATATTCTACTTTTTATTTTTAGTGTTATATCTGAAAAAACTTTTAACTACAGATCAGTTTCACTTACAAATGTAGAAGCAAAACTTTTAAAATGTTTTATTATGAAAAATTTTGAGCAAAGAAAAAAAAAAGTATAATTAAACCCCATGTACAAAAAAGGAAGACCAGTATATTCAAACTCCACATATTCATCATGTGACTTAAATAATTATCAACAAAAACCTAATTTTGTTTTATCTACACTACCACTCACTCCCTCTTCACCAACGGATTATTTTGAAGCAAATCCAAGATATCTTTTCATTTCTAGATGCAAAAATATTAAATAAAATATTGGTAAATAGAATCCAGCCCAATATAAAAACAACAAATCATTATGGACAAGTATATAAGATATTGGGAATCTAGCAACATTAATCAAATAAAAATTTAAAGAAAGAGAAAAGTTATGAATGAGAATAATTTTAAAGTTAAAAAGCCTTTGAGGGGATCTAATGTACAGCATGGTGACCATAGTTAACAACACTGTATTATACTTGGAAGTTGCTAGAGAGTAGATCTTAAATGTTCTCAACACAAAAAAGAAATGGTAATTATGTGATGTGATACAGGTGTTAGCTAATGCTATGGTAGGAATCATTTTGCAATATAAGTATATCAAATCAACATGTTGTATACCTTAAAATTATGCAATATTAGATGTCATTTATATCACAAGAAATCTGGGGCGAGCCTTTGAGAAGGAGGAATAAAAACTTGATAAATTGCAGTTACCATTTATTCAGACTATACTACGTGCCAGCACTATACCCTGTACTTAAAGAATATTTGCGCATTTACTCTTCATAACAACTCTATGAAGTAGGAATTATGACAACTTTTTTTCACAAATGAGGAAGATTGACTCAGAGATTAACTTACCCACCAGAGGCAGAAGCAGGTTCTTCTTACTCCACAGTCCATACACTTCCCACTTGACCAAAATGATTTGCAGATGACAAAAATGCTCAACTAGAAAACATAAAGGAATCAACTTAGAAGCTATTAGTAATAACATGAGTAAAATGAGGTGCCAACATAAGTATATCTTTTTAGTTTTTGCTCTTGTGCATTACATTCAATTAGAAGAAACAAAAAAGAGGGAGTGGGGTCATGAAAAAAAGAAGACACCATTTACAATTACAACCAAAGTAAAAACTATCTAGGAATAAACATAACCAGATCTGTCCAAGACACATATGGAAAAACACCACAGCAGATCAAAGAAACAAGTTACTTGGGTTAAAGGAATCCATCACATGTGCGTGTCTTAAAGTGTTGCACCTATGACTAAGTCAGCTCTACCAAAATTCAAGCATCCACTTGATGAACTACAACTGCAACAGTTTAAAGAAAGAAAACTTCCCGAGTTTGTAATGTGGAAATGGTTATGATAGGATGTTAGATCAAAACGTATAAAATTATAGCAATGCGTACACACCTGGTCCGAATATTAAAACTGAAATATACTAACTTTTAACAAGAGTTCTTTTCGGGAGGAATATTTAGGAGGATGGGGATGCCATTACTTGGGTCGGAATGAACCTGAAAACAAAATTTCAATAGGGATATACACTAAACAGGGACGCAAGAGGACCAGAAATCCCATCTTTAAAATTAAGCATGCGATTAGCAATAAACACGGAATTCCCCAAACGCAGTCCCGACACGAACACGGCTCCCGCTTCCCACAACGGGACACCCCAAACGCTACTCTCCAACAAAGACATTCCAAGTGCTTCTCCCAACACAGAACCCCACTAACTGCCCCTCCACGGGGATCCCCCAACACTGACCACCACCCCCAGGGAGGATTTCCACTCGCTTCCCCCAAGACCGAGCCCTCTGCGTTCCAGAACAACAAAAAACCCCAACGCGCTCTCCCCGGCCTGGAGACACGCCCGGAGCCCGACATTGACCTGACCACTGACCTCCGTCTTCCCGCTAGAGACAAATCATGGAATCATTTCTCTAAACACTGCTTTACTGTCCACAGCTCCGCGGCCCCACGTCAACATCTGACAGGAGTCTCAGAAGCTGAAAGGATAGCGGCGGCCGACGAGGGTCAAAGCGCGTCGTTCCAGAGTCTCGGAATCTGGCTCCAGGTTGTCCCTTCTATGACGTAGAATTACCGCGCCCAGTTCGAGGCTATTCACCCGGAGCAGCCATCTTCCAACCTACTGCCGTAGAGCGGGCCTAATCTCCCTTTCCCGGCGTTTCGTGGGACGGCTCAAGACCGTGAGAAGCTACGGAAAACGACCTGAAGCCACTTGAATCCCTGCCCCCACCACACACACACACACACACACACACACACACACACACACACACACACACACACACACACACACACACACACACACACACACAGTGTGCAACATTCGCCAGGATTACTACACAAACTGCTTAGCTCCTTAGAAGCGCAAGCCTGCCCCAATCTCCCCTCAGCATGGGCAGAGATGGTCCCGGACATTAAGGCAGTTCGAGCCTAAGGCTAGAGAGAAGCTAAGTGGGCGCAGTCATCTTAGAGTAAGTTCCACGGGGAGGAAACCCGAGCAGACCCCGAACAATCGGTGGAGAACGGGCTATTATCCTGGGAATCCTGGCCGGAAGGGGCTTTGCGGAGGAAGCGACATTTGAGGCCAGTCTAGGGTTTAGAGACCCGCTGAAGGTGGGTGGCATTGATCAGAGAGAGGGTAATATGGGCAGGATTATGAAGTTCTTATGACTAGGTGGAGGAAAACTGGGAACACGGTTGATCAGGAGCTGGCAAGAGGGGCAGAGCCAACGGAGAAGCTTGGCTGTCCCGCCAAGGGGTGGGTGGATCCAAAGGCAAAGCAAGCTTTTTCTTCTGCAAAAATGGCAAATACCTTGAATCAAAAGCTCTGTGAAAGGGTCTGTTCAATATTGCAGCCCAAATTCCCAACGCAAAAAAACTCACTCTCCATAATTGTACAACCAGGCTGAGAGTACCTTCAAACTAAAGGGATTGATCATTCATTCACCCACCCAAAAGATGTTTACTATTCCTGCTGTATGTCAAACACTGTTCTGCTGCTGGGGATACAAAAGCTCTAAGTGCCGATAAAAATACCATTCTTTGTGGAGCTTTACATTCTACTGGAGATATCACATTAAATTGCTGGTTTGATATCTTTGTTCCAGCAAGAGTGGTCTAATTCCCACCTACAAAACTGGATGGCAGAGCACAGAACCAGAAACCGTTATTCTGAAGCCTTAAGATCTAATGGAAGTTGTTAGGTTTTGGATTTGCTTGGGACCAGTCACCCCTTTCAAAGACATATAGAAATGTTTATACTACGCTTAACTTTAAACAAATAGCCAGGTATTTCTCCAGCAAAATAAGTTTATTTGGGAGCAAAAAAGAATTACAATTTTGGACATGCAAGCTAGGGCAGAAGAATAGATAAGTCCAGAGACAAAGGAGAGTAATGGATAGAGGAAAGGGTGGAGGGGCAGTAAGAGGGGCTGTTGTAAATAAAGAGTTCAGTGGAGGAAGCTAGGAGTTCAAAGTGTAGTGGTTTCTCATTGGCTGAGTTGTAATAGTCTCTCATTGGTTGAGTGGTTGCCTGGAGAAGAGACAATCTTCCTGCTGGAGTGGTAGAGTAGAAAGGTCTTCTAGTCAGGGAATGGAAAGTATGTCTCTTCCACTTTGGGGTTAATGAGTGGCAGGGTGTGCGAGCTCCTCCTACAGGCCCTCCCAACTCCATTTAGTTGAGATTTCTTTTATTTCACACCCCTGTCCCCCTCATTGTATTTTGGAAGCATATAACTTCTCTGCTTTCACAGGTTCACAACTGAAAAAGAATTTTTCATGAAACATACCCAGTTACTCCAAAAAAAGGTAGAAAAAGAAAAGGGGAGCAAAGAACAGAAGGAATAAATAGCATATCTCATGTTATCAATTTTTTTTAAGTTGCAGAAAAGGAATTTATTAGAAGTAAAAATACATTTCAAAGAAACAGAAGCGGGCCTGAACAGTAGAGAATGGCTCAAGGGCCATTACTAGAAAAGAAAGTACACTCCAAAGAGTTTGGAGCAGGCCAAGCAAAGGAAGCTCAAAAGGCCTCATGTTATCATTTTAAACTTAACCACATTAATTCTCACATTAAATATAAATGATCTAAACACAAGAAAAAGACAGATTGTCAACTACACGGTACCTACAAGAAACTCATTTTAAATACTAAATCACAAATACGTTGGGCCGGCTGAGTGGTACATTGGTTAAGAGCTGACTTGGGACACCAGCTCTGAGCAGCAGGGCCCTGGTTTGGATCCCACGTGACGGCCAGTGACACTGCCCTCTACAGCTAAGATGGTGAACAACTGCTCGACCTGGAGCTGGGCTGCTGTGAGTCGCCGGCAAAGGCATAGACTGCAGCCCCTGCTTCAGTGGACTGCCATAAGCTACTGTGAGTGGCCAGCAGCCGGTGTGTGCTGCCAAGAGCCACCATGAGCGGCCGTTCAGAGGCCGGCGACCGATCTGCCTCAGCTGGGAAGAGCGCAATGATCACAGTACCAACATGGGCCAGTGAAGCGAAGTCCTCCACAAATAGACTGAAGAACAAAAGGACAGCAACATGTCTGTTCTCCTTCCCCTGATTCCCCAGTGCTGTTCCCCTCCCTCAATTCCCCAATAAAATCTTTAAAAAACAAAAAAACCAAATAGGTTACAAGTAAGCCATGTAAATAGAGATATAAAAGATAAAAAGGCCCAAGTCAAAAACTACAATTTCTGAGATAAAACATACATGGGATGGGATTGATAGCAGGTTACACATTTTAGAAGAAAAGATCAGTGAACTTGAAGACACAGCAGAAGCTATCCAAAATAAAATGTGAAAAAAAGACTAAAAATGTATATACAGTATTCTAACTTATTTGTATATGCAAAAGTCAGAGAACTTGATGACAAGGCAAAAGAAAGTATACAAACTCAAGTACAGAGAACAAAAGCTAATAAAAGCTGTTATTAAAAAAGAAAAGCTTTGAGTTCTTGGCCATTGGGGTAAGAGGTATCATTGTGAGACGTGCCAAATGGAAACCTCTCAAACTTCCCTTCATTCTCTGTTCAAGATAGTGAACTAAACACTACTGTGGGAGGGTTTATAAGATATGAAGAAATCAAATGTAGTGCACATCTTACAAATCCCACAGCAATTGTGATCATTAACATGTTAATCACTCCTCTCCCATTTTGATCTAATAGAATATAGGTATAACTGTTTATACAGTTATGATAATGTCCTTGTTTGCTCAATCTAGCAGTTTTAGGTCAATCTAGCAGATTAGTTTTTCTTAGTGTTGGTCTCACTTTCCTGCTTTTATGCATGCCTCACAATCTACATATGTAGTATACAGGGATTGACAGAAGTTCCCTACCCTCATAAACCTTACAGTCTAACTTTTTTTTTTAAAACAATTTTTTTTTTAAGATTTTTATTGGGGAATTGGGGGAAGGGGAACAGACAAGTTGCTGTCGTTTTTGTTCTTCAGGCTAGTTGTGGAGGACATTGCTTCACTGGCCCAAGTTGGCACCATCATTGCGCTGTTCCCGGGCGAGGCAGATCAGTCGCCGGCTTCTGGACGGCCGCTCACTGTGGCTGCTGGCCGCTCATGCTGGCTGCTGGCTACATACGGTAGCCCATGGCAACC